GAACAACTTGCATGTCGAACGAAACTTGTTCGGGCGCGCGCACTGGCGATGGCGGCGACGGACCGCGGCCCGAGCGCCAACAATCTCTTCCGACAGCATATCCGCGCAGCCACCGTCGCGCAAGTGACCGTCGCGCTCCAAAGCGACATCGGAGGCCTTTAGTGGCTGATGCCAGGGGCCTTTCGCGCGTCGCTGCGGCCACTGCGCTAGGGGTAGTTAGTGGCGGGTGGTGGCGGGCAGCGGCGGCCGCCGGCGTCGCGGCCACTTCGGCGGCGCCGTCGTCTTCGCGGAAAACAAATCACCAACGTCATCATTGTCCTCCTCACATTCCACCCCCTCTTCCCCCCCCCCGCCCCCTCCCTCTCCATGCCCCCCTGCCGCTTCCAGCGCCTCTCCCCCGTTCCCCCCTCCCCCCCCCTCCTCCTCGTCGTCATCTGCATCGCCATCGTCTTAAATGATCATCAACCGCGCGCGCGGCGCAGGGCGGGGCGGCGGCGACGGCGACCCCCCTTCGTCCCTCCTCGCCCCCCCTTGCTTCCCTCGCCCCCCCCCTGCCCGCCCGCCCTTCCCCGCGCCCCTCGCCCCCCCCGTCGTTGCCCCCCGCCCCCTAGACCCCCCCCCCCCGCCCCTCCCCCCTCACTCCTCTCATCGTTCACGCGCGTCCGCGCCCGCCCATCGGAGGGCGGAGACAGCCGTCGCCCCCCGAGCAATCGACCGCGGGCTCGCCCTGCCAGGAGGGTGGAGACGAGGAAGCGAAGAAGGGGGGGCGCAGAGGGGGGGCGGGGGAGCGAGTGCGCGACGCCCGCCGGCCTTCCGGCCGCGGCGCCAAACGCTTGGCGCCCGCGGGGCGCCGGCGGAGGTGGGTCGGGCGGATCGACAAAAGCTAGGGGGCCGCCCCCGGCCCGCTCTCGCTGGCGATCGGAGAAGCCGCGCACGCCGCGCCCTGCGAGCGCCCCCGTCGGTCAGGCGGTGGGCAGGGGGGGAGGGGGCGCCCTGCGCGCCCCTCCGAAGTCGAGACGATGCCGCGCGCGCACCCGGGCGCCCCGACGCCGACCCGAGAGGGGGATGAAGAGGGAGAGAGAGAGAGAGAGAGAGAGAGAGAGAGAGAGAGAGAGAGAGAGAGAGAGAAACATAAAGAAAGAGAAAGACATATATATATATAGAGAGAGAGAGAGAGAGAGAGAGAGAGAGAGAGAGAGAGAGAGAGAGACACACACAAGAGAGACGCGCACTTGCCCCTATGCAAGCGCGCGCGCAGCAACGAACCGCCCTGCGGGCGCGCGCGCAGCAGCGGACGCCCGAGGCTCTGATGGGCAGACGGACTGAAGCACCCCGGCAGCGGCGCGGAATCTAGGACCCAGGAGGTCTGAAACGGAAGCACCCCAGGCGCCCCTCGGGTCGGGTGAAAACGACAGGAAAAGACGAGAGACATAACACTCATTGTTCTGTGCGGTCCCAGTCGTCCATGAAGCGGAGGCCGGACAAGAATGACAAGAATGCCCAGATTGCTGAATTCCCTAGAATACCTAGAATACCTGGAATGCCTGGAATTCATACCCTAGAATACCTGGAATGCTTAAAACTCAATCATGAAAACTCATCGTATTGGCGCGCCCCGGGGACCACCAAACGCCGCGCCACGCGGACATCATCAAAAATCAATGAACAAACGCAAGCCGAACGCCAACAGGACGTCCGACGCGAGCGACTCTGAGGTCAACCACGATGGCCCAGCGCGCATTTGCCAGTCAACGGCCCCCGGGGAAAGAGCGGCATGGCTACGTCGACCACAGGAAGCCCTCACAGCGCGCGCACCTCGCGAAATGGCGCCAACGCAGCAGGTGGCCCTGGGAGCGCCGATTCGAAATCATGGCTCACCGTTGAGAATTGTTCATCGCATCAGACACCTACCGACCCACATATGTACACATTGGCCATGTATCCATATACCATATACCATCATATATATATATATACACATGTGTATGTATACACGTATCCCGTATCCCAAGACCTCCCACCCAAAACTTGCTTGCACTTTAGCACGCCTAACGGCCCTTGCACCGGGGCGGGTACTGTACAGGGTCCACAGGCCAGAGCACCCAAGACCCAAGACCTCCCACCCAAACTTGCTTGCACTTTAGCACGCCCAACGGCCCTTGCACCGGGGCAGGTGCTGTACAGGGCCCACAAGCCAGAGCACCCAAGACGGGACCCCAAGGGCCCAAGGGCTCAATGGGCCTGTGGAGGCCCAGCAGCAAGCAGCAGCAGCGGGGCACAACGGTGGCGCGACTGGTCAGCAACGTTGCAGTGCCGCCCGCCAATATAGGCGCGGCCACCCAAGCTGCTGCCAGCCAGCCACGTCGCCAACGGCTCGGAAGACGCCGCAGGCGCCGTACCTCAAGAAGACGACGCCCACAAACAAGACCTGGGCCTCGCAAGGCTACCGAGGGTCGTCATCCTTCCAGGGGTCCTCAACCAACGCCACAGCGACCGTGAAGGCGGCGGCCGCGCAGAGCGCGAACAAAAAGAGACGATCAAGTCGAAAAACTCCATGTTGAAACAATGTTGAAAACCACTAGCCCTCGTAGCTGGCGTCACGCAGCGTCGCAATACTATGGCCCCAGCTTTGGTTGCGCGGAGGTGGACTGGGAAGAGTGCCCGAGGATGCGGATCGGAGGTCGAGGGGAGGGAGGATGAGAGAGAGACAGAGAAAGAGAGAGAGAGAGAGAGAGAGAGAGAGAGAGAGAGAGAGAAAAAAAGAGAGAGAAAGAGAGAGAAAGAGAGAGAGAGAGAGAAAGAGAGAGAGAGAGAGAGAGAGAGAGAGAGAGAGAGAGAGACGACCCAAACCCAAAGACCCCAATGCATGCCCAAGACGCCCAAGACCCAAGACACCCCCCCTCCCCCAAGGCGCCCATGACCCGAATACCCCAAGACCCAAGACACCCAAGGCCCACGAGGCCCAGAAACCCACGACCCCAAGACCCAAGACCCAATGCGCCCAAGACCCAAGACCCAAAGACCAAAGATGCCCCAGACCCACGACCCACGACCCCAACACGCCAAGACCCCCAAAGACCAAAGACCCTAGAAACCTAAGACCCTAGGACCTAACACCTAGGACGCCCAAGACGCACAAGACGCCCAAGACCTCATGACGCCCAAGACCCAAGACCCAAGGCCCAAGTCCCCAAGACGCCCGACACCCGAAGACCCAAGACCCCAAATCCCAAATGCCCAAGACCCAAGACGCCCAAACACCAAACACCCAAGACCCAAAGGCCCCAGGCTTAATGCCCAAGACTGGGTTCTGGCGGATGGGCAGGGGCCGAAGGCCTTGAATGTCGAAGGCCCCCGCCCGACAGCCGGCGGGGTCTCCTCCGGGCGGGGGCGTCTGCAAGACAAGGCAGGGGCCCAGCAGGGCATGGGCTGCGATCACCGCTCCGCGGGGCGAGGTGCCGAGGATCGAGCCAGGAGCAAGGGGTGCCGCGTTTGGTGATTATCTTCTCGAACGCCAAATGCCAAATGCAAGTGTCGCTGCTACTCCTATTCGCCCCCAGACAACCCCAGATCTACAGGGCCACTTCTACTCATGCTCCTTTTCGTCACTCCCACCCCGCGCCCCATGCCCATGCCACATACTATCAGACGCCCTTGGGCGCCGACGGATCCGCCTGTGGGCCCATGGGTCCATGGAACCATGGAGGCGATGCTCGCTTATGTCTTTCAGCCGAGCCAGGCTGGGGGCCATCGAGATCTGAGGATGGGGGCCAAGGGCCAAGGGCCCTTTGTCCTTTGTACTCAATTGTTGTTGTCTGTTCATCCGAAGTCGGCGCGCGATGTATCCGAGGCATTGCGAACTCCGGGCGCCGCGCGAGAAAGCGGCGCAACCCCGACATAAAAGCCAGCCCCTAGCTTCGATGCCCCGCTCTCGCGCGCCCATTGGCGCAGGAGTCGGAAAGCACGCCAGTGGCCACAGCAACAGCAACAATACGATCCTTCTTCCCTCCAGATCCTCCCATTCACGTCCCCGCAACCTCGCCCCATGTACCAGATCACCATATCCCATATCCCATGTTCTGAATCCAACAGATCATATCCCCCACTCCTGACTCTTGTCGTAAACTCTCTATTCTGTATGACATATGATATATGGATATATGGTATATGGTATATGGGTTATACATCATATCATGTACGTACATTTGTACATATGTGTCATATGTGATATGTGTATAGATGCATCGCCATTCCACCCCTCTTGTCACCATCGCTACCTACTGCTCTTTATCATGTGTGTTGTATGGCTTTATGTTTGTCTGGTTTATGCCTTCGGCTGTATGTTGTTATGCGTTGTATATTATAAGTATAGCTTATAGTTGTGCTTTACCGTGCTATGTCCTATATGCTATATATTATATATTATAGATTATATGGTATATGGCGACCCAGCGAAATCACGCAAGATACGCACGTGAACTTGTCACTTGACAATGCGTTAATGTTTAATGTGTGTGTGTTGTTGTCGTTTGTGTGATCTCTCTCTCTCTCTCTGTTTTCTGTTATCCTTACTCCTTACTCCCTACTTGCCACTTGCCACTTGCCCTGCCTCTGCACCTCCCTCGCCCTCTCTCTGTCGCCGGCCGCCGGCATGGGGCATGGGGCCTGGGGGCGGCCAGACTCAGAAGGCAAAAAGCAAAACGCCTCGAGCTGCCCCAGGAACAGCCCGAGGAACAGCCTCGGACCCGCCCGCCAGAGAAGTTGCCTCGGGCCGCGGAGCCTTGGACCTGGCAGACTCGAGCGGCCTGAAGAACAGCGCGAGCAGCACAAGCCTCAAGCGTCAAGCGGTACCCTGCGTGAGCAGCACAAAATACAAAGTGCGAGCCTAAGGCGTGAGCAGCACACGCCTCAAGCCTCAAGCGTCAAGCGCTCAAGCGCTCAAGCGGCCTCAAGCGCTCAAGCGGCCTGAAGAACAGCGTGAGCAGCACAAATCTCAAGCCTCAAGCGGCCTGAGGAGCAGCCCCGGACCCGTCAGCCTGGGCACCCTTGGCCGCGGCGGCCTCCGCGGGCTCGGCGGCCGCGGGGGCACCGGCAGGCTCCCCCTTCATCTGCTTCAAGAGGTTGAGTAAGTACTCGGGGAGAGTCGCCGCCGTCCTCTGGATCACCGTCTCGATCTGCAAAGCTTGTGCTCTCAACTCAGACGGCGCCGTCCTGCGGTCATTCAGTATGTTGTCCAACGTCCAGTCGACCATGATGCACGTCTTCGCGTAAGCTCTCTGGTCGTAGGCGTCCTTGTAGGCATTCTTCAAGGGCTTGGTGCGCGAGATGCCGTTCTGCTGGGCCTGCTTCACGCGCTGGAGCAAACTGGCGATGGCCTGCACCGCGGGGTTCAGGTGGTGACGATCAGGATTACCGAAGAGAGTGTTCTGCAAGGACTTGTCTGAGAGGAGCGCCGGGGACTCGATGGCACTGCTCGGCGGGCACATGTCGGAGAGAGCCACGGTCTGCTTGCTGAGGGTCTCGGCATACGCATCAAAGGCAGTGGCCAAGACGACTTCCGACCAGCGGGTGATGGCAGGGCCGTCCTCGATCTTGGCCTTGAAGGTTGAGCTCTCCATGTCCCGCCAGCGGTCGCGCGCAGAATTCCTCAGGAATGTGTTCATCGCCTTTCCCTCCTCGATGAGACTCTTGACGTGATCGAACGACTCTGGGATCGATGCTCCATGCAGCAACACGCCACAGCCAGCGGCAGTAATCTTGATAAAACGTTGCATAAACTCTACCCGCAACACCAGCACCTCATTTAATGGTTTCTCCAACAGCCCGGAGATCTTGCTATTCATATCGGGGTCGAGGCCAAAGGAAGATAACTTCTCGCAGGTGGCCTTTCTCTCGCCGAGGTCGCTCAGGTCACCGGCAGACACTGGAGCGGCAATGACGGCTTGGCATTCCAAGAACAAAGCCGAGACGTCCTCGAACGGCTGCTCCATTGCCTTGCTCAGGTGATCCTTCACGTCCTTGGACACAGCGGTAAAATGCTCCTGCTCGCGGAAGGGGGGGGGGCCCGCGCCGGCAGGGGAAGGGGGTCTAAAGGCTAAAGGCTAAAGGAAAGGGCCGAGGGGGGAGGCAGTGGGCCAGCATGACAAGGGACAAAGGTCAGGCGAGGGAAAATGAGGGCAGCAGGATGAGCTATCGGAAACAGGGCACGACGCCTGACCACCAGAAACAGTCCAGGAACAGAGCAGGCAGGGCGGGGGAGGGCAAGCCGGCAACCCAACAGCAGCAACAGCAGTTGGTTGGGGCGAGCCGCCGCATCCTCCGCCAGCCACCCATCCCATGCCCCATGCCCCCTGCCTCCTCCTCGCTCTTCGCCCTTCGCCCTTCGCCCCCCTCCTCTCCCGCTCCCCGATTCCTCCCTCGCCATCCTTATTAATCTGCTGGGCCCCCGCCATAAGCGCCCCCCCCACCCCCCAGGCTCCTGGACGGCCCTGAGGTTGGCATTCACGAGCTGCCAGGCCGTCTTCGTCATGGAGGCGCGCCCCTCGAGGTCGGTGGCAATCTTCTCGCGCCAGCTCTCGATCGACTGCCAGCGGTCGAGGCCTGTCATGTCGATCATGTTCTCGCGGCTCATCTGCTTGAGGTCCTTGCTCTGGGAAAACACGAAGTGCTTGATGTACCACTTGCGGCAGCAGGCCACGACCTCGCGGCGGATCACGACGCTCTCGGGGGTGTTCTCCTGCCTGGGCTCGAGCAGCTCTTCCGAGGTGGTGAGCATGGAAATAGCATCGTCGTGAGGCTGGCCATTCGCTTCGAACCAAGCTGTCGTCTCCTTGTACCTCGTCACCCACAGGCCGATGAGGTAGTCGGTCATCGCGCACAGCGCTGCGTCCAAATCAATGAGGAATGTCAACATGTCCTCCGCGCTTGCATGCTTGCCGGCCGACATGAAAGTGATGATGTCCTTCAGCTCCCCGAAATCTGCGGGCCCGATCGCTTCCTTTGTGACAAACTCGCGAACTCGAGCGTTCTTCTGGGCTACCTCCTTGGAGAAGGCTACGCGCTCCCTGCACTCACTCACGGCCTTGGTGGTGCGGGCCAGGATGTTAGTGCCAGCGACCTTGTTCTGGCACAGGAGGTAGAGGAAGCCAGTATTCAGCATGTCCCCTCCCTCTTGCACCACCTTCTGCAACTCTGCCACGCGGTCAGCATCGCTGCTGTCTTTCAGGTCCTTGGCGCATAGCAACTTATCGAAATCGCGCACGTGCCCAAGCACGCCGGCGTCAATCCAACTAGTCGCTGAGATGATCAAGAACGGGTGCAACCGAGTGGCTAGGCCCGCGACGATGGCTTCGGTGTCGAGGGGCAGCTGAAGCTTCGAGGTGATCATGTTCCCGATGGCTGTTTTCTGGAATCGCACAACGTCTTCTAAAGCATCAATTGCGATGATGCCGCGCTCCGCGAGCTTGAACTTGGAGAGCTCGGCTGGGAACTCGTCGCACTGTGGGAGACTACCAAGCGAATCATAATGCGTTTCCCAAAAGAAAACGCACCTGACCTTGCACTCGTCTTTGTCCGACAAGAAAGCCATGAGGTTGCTGTAGCTGCTCATCCAGGCCTCCTGGCACTTCGGGTCCGACATATTGCCAGTGATGCGAGCATACATCTTCATCACGGAATCCATCATCTGGAAAGTATGTTTGGCAAGGGTCGCCGCCGCCTTCTTAGAGGTATCTGTCTCGTCCTTCTCCTCTTTCTGGGCCTTGTCTATGTACCTCCGGATGTTCTCCTGCTGGATCGTCCACTTATCATTGAAGTAAACCGACGTCTCGTCCGCGGTGTTGAAACGTTCCAGCTCACGGGCCATGACCACTGAGGCCGCATCTGGCACCCTGCCGAGCTTGCCTGGCAACTGCTTCCTCTCGCCGCCGCCTCCGCCACTGGTGCGTCCGCCACCGCCTCCGGATGGGCGAGGGCCGCCTCCGCCGCCGCCCCTCCGCCTGGGGCCGCCTCCGCCGCCTCCAGCCCCCGATGGCCCGGCCCTGGTTTGCCTCGAGGTACGGCCGCCGCGACCGCCGCGGTCGTCGTCCTCAACGTCGGCCAACCCCCACTTCCTCTTCGCCTTGGCGTCCGACGGCGGCGCCCCGCTCGAGTTGGCGATGCCAGCGCTGCCTCGACAGGGGCCAAGGGCCAAGGGCCAAGAGGAGGGGAAGGGAGGGGAGGGGGAGCAGGCAGAGGGGAGCGAGTTGGATAAGGATACAGACGAGCGACCAGAGTGGGGGGCACGAGGAGGGCAAGGTGGCAAGGTCAGATGAGCGGCATGTGGGAGGGGGGAGTAACAGCGCGGGGGAGGTGGGGTGGGGGTAGCATCAGCAGGATCATCTCGAGAAGACGGGGGCTATGGAAGATGACATACGTGACATGACATGAATAAGTGTGAGGGCTGGACGTCGAGGAAGAGAGCGCGCCAGAATGAACGGTCTGGCAGGAGGGGGCAATGCGCACATGATCACATGATCAACGATGGGCGATTCATGAGGAGGATACGGAAGGCTAGAGGGAAGTGGCGTGGCCAGGGCCTGGGAAATGGGGAGGGGGTACCAGGGCCAAGGACCACAAGAAGCTCGATGAGTCTATGAGAATCAATGTGACGACCCTCCTTCCCCCCTGCCCCCCTGTCGGAAATTGGAAACCAAGTGCGACCTGGGTGCGAAGGGCGACAAAGAGAACCAGGGCCCAGTAGGCGTTGGGCGAAGTGGAGGCAGAGGAAAAGCAGCAGCAGCGACAGAGTGGCAGCACAAAAGCAGCATTGCCCAGTGCCCTCCTGCCTGAGGATTCGGATCCATGACTGGACTTCTCCTGCGCCTCCTTCTGGATAGCCTTAATCATGTCGTCGAGCGTGGCCGCGCCTTTGCAAGCATCCTCGATCCCTGCCATACCCGCCTCCTGGACTTCCTCGAGCATGTCGTCCACCTCGTTGTCGCTCTCGCCCGAGCTCTGCTCGTGAATGAGCTCCTTGGACCTGTGCAGGTTCGAGATCTCTGTCTGGAGTTTCCAAGGGGTGCCCTTCTTGGGGGGCATGATGACCACCTCCTGCCCGTTCAACCGCTTTCTTTCGTGGCCCAACTGCCTGTGGAGCGTGGGCGAAACGGTCTCAATGCATTCTGCCCAAGGCAAAACATCGGGGGCCGGCGGGAGAAGCGCCTCCTTGTAAACCTTCTCGCGAGTGAACTGCCTAGCTTTCTTCCTGGACGGATCAGTTCCGCCAGAATAATCATATTTCCAAGTACCCGCATCAAGCTTCTTCTTACACTTACTGACGCAAGTAGCACGGTGACCTTTGAACGCGTCCATCTCGCCCTTGTCGTCACGCATGTTCTTGATCTGGGTGTCGCGGTCAACTTTGTGCATCATCTTTTTTCCTGTATCTGCTTGAGGAACGGAGCCTGGCACAGGACAGCTTTGGCAGGCGGCAAAGGCCTGCGGCAAAAGAGAATTCTGGAGGCAACGGGCTGGCATTGGGAGCCAGAAAGACTATGGAGCAGGGATGAAACGGAACTGTGCGATGCAAACTCGTTAAACAACGTACATGCATCATCTTTTTTCCAGTATCTGCTTGAGGAACGGAGCCTGGCACAGGACAGCTTTGGCAGGCGGCAAAGGCCCATCTACAAAAAGCACAGTACCCATTAGCAAGCATTGCACTGGCTTAGCCGTGAATCAACATCCATGTTCGGGAGACCATCCTGGCGACAATTGTCTGCGAGAACATTCGAGCAAGCTGCCTGCAGATGGCGTCGGGATAGACGGCCTTCTGGTGAGTGCGGAAGTGAGTAGCACCGCCTTCCTTTCCAGACAGCTCAAGATGAGGCTGGCCAGAAAATTCACACACACACCACGGCCATGACATTTCATAGACAAGAAAGAAGGGGAGGGGCGACAATGCAAGAATTGGAACTTAGTGCGGGCTCGAAAGGGCCGACCTGCCGCACATTGGTCAACAATAGCTTCGAAAAAGAAAGGAGAGTGATGGCGGCGAGTTCTGTCTGGAAAATGCCAAAGCCAACTGCTGCAGGGATTTTCTTCGCCGACAGGAATGTTGAACTTTGAAGCTAGCTGCCAGATCTGCCCGGCACGTGAGGCGAGCAGGTTGCCAAGCTCCAGCTTGGCCTGATCGGGAGCAGCCAAATTTGGCAAGCCAAAGATGTGAGAGCCGTCACGAAGGCGCCGAGGCATGCGAGAAGTGGGGCCGCCTCGTCGCGCTTGAGAAAACGATTCGCAAGGCGTGCCCATGAAAATAGCCTTGACCTTGCCGCTGGCAATCCAGCCGCGAAGCACAGCCCACGGCGCAGGCCGGGTAAGATCAAACTCTTGCCCATGCAGGACATCCCATTCAATGACTGCGTGCCCTGCCTGTCGCAGGTGTCGCGCCAGGTTGCCAGAGCCGCTAAAGAGTTCAATGAAGACGCGAGAATCATGACCTTTGCTACTCATCACCGCTGAAGCGAGTACAGCTTGCAGGCGGCGTCGAGTCCAGCAGCCAACCGTTCGATCTCCTGGCGCTGGGGGGCGGGAATCTTCATCCACTCGATCGCCACTCGCCCGTGCTTGTCGTAGCGCCGCACGCTGTTGAAGGCGCGCCAGTTTCCTCGTTGCTGCACCTCCATTAGCGTGCGGCTGGCCGTCAGGCGGTCGTGGCTGGCGCCGCCGTGCCTGAGGCTGTAGAGCGTGCCTGCTAAACAGCTGGCTCCCACAGCCGCGAGCGCCTGGCCAAACCGCCGCTGGAGGAGGTTGTAGTCGAAGTCCCACAGCGGGTGCCAGGAGCCCAGGCGGGAGTCGCGCAGGCGCGCCAAGGCCCAAGCCAGGGCCTGCTGGCGCGGGAGGTCGAGCACAACGGTATGGTCCATCTCGCCTGTCTTGCCCGGTTGCTGCAACTCTGCAGCATGCACCACCACCGACATGTGTGAGCCCGCGCTGGTGGCCGAGCCGAACGGGCCGGTGAGCTGGGCGGCCCGCAGCGCCAGCGCCTCCGAGGGTCTCAGGTAGCCCTCGAACATCAGCATGACGCACAAGGCGGTCGCAAACTCGCCCTGGTGCCCAAGCCAAGCTGCCGCTGCGCGAACCACAAGCTCTGGAAGAGGCGGACGAGAGCCTGGTGGATGCAGGCGCTTCCAGCCCGCCAGCGAGTGCGCGAGCTGCGGGAAGCACCTCTGCAAGGGCGCCACGTGGAGCTGCGGGAGCCCCCACAGCACCGCGGCGCCAAGCCTTGCAGCCGTCGCCCTCGCCACTCCCTGGTCGAAGGCCCACAGCAGGAAGTCGGCCAGCGCTGCGTCCCAGGCCGCCACAGGCCAGTCGGGCAGAGCGTCCACCATGAGCCAGCCTGCCAGCAGCCGCAACACCTTCAGGTAGAGCACCTGAGTGGACGGCCGCACCTTGTTGGCTGCCAGAAAGCCCTGGCGGGGCAGCAAGCGGGCCCGCTCCTGGGCGGAAGGCGGCGGCAGCTGCGCTCTGATCCTTGCGGATTCGCCACCACCAACGGCTCGCTTCCGGGTCGGCGAAGCGCCTCCCACCTCTGGCAGACTTGGCTGGCCGAACGGCGGCGCTGCCTGGAGCGTGCGGACCTCCTGCATGGCCACAGCTGCCGTGACGCCTGAACTGGTCCCTCTGCTTGGGCCAAGACGGCTCCGGACCAGACTGGAACCGTCTTGACGGGCCATCCGCAGGGTTTAGCTCTGAGGGGATCCATCTGAACGTGACCTTGAGATTGCAGGCGACCGATATGGCGTAGGAACAACGGCAGCCGGACAAGAGACCAAAGTCGGATGCACGGCCCTTTTCATGGGCGCAAATCATCGACATGTTGTCGCCCAGGCCCAGCAAGCGATGCCCGTGGCATCTCGAATTGCGAGAGGCGCGCCGCAGCCAGAGAAGCCCTGCTGAGCTCTCCAGCCTGTGGATAGTACTTTGACGCCTCCATCTGCATGCAACAGCCGTGATCCAGGTCGCCTCGCGCAGCAGCTCTGCGCTCACCTCGGCGAAACCCGCCGCGCGGCCGAGCAGGAGCGCGGCGGGGTCAGAGAGCTCGATGCTGTCAGCGGCCAGGGCAGCGTCCCGCGGAGCCACCAATGAGGCGAGGGGCCCGCGGAAACGCAGCCTCTCCGGCTGCCTGCCTGCGGCCTGCACCGCGCTCAAAGGCCAGCGCGCAGTGCAGACTCCCGCGCCCCAAGGCGACGCGTCAAAGGCACCTACCTCAGCGTGCCAAGGCCTCTTCATGTCGGCGAACACCGTGGGCAACAACGCAAGCACCCACCTGAGTTCACGTCGGCAACTGGGCCACAGCGGCTGCGCCCTGTCGTAGGTCGACCGGATGAAGACGTAGACGGCGCTGAGGAGGCTGAGAGCCTCACGCCGCAGCAGCAGCAGCGCGACCACGTGGCCCACAAGCCTCTCCAACTGGCGCCCAGTGATACGCCTTCCTGGCTCCAGCAAGTGTGAGATGCAGCCATGCACCCTCCAAAACTTCTTGGGTGCGGGGCGCCACCTGGCGGCCTTGGAATCCAGCGTGAAGCCGAGGAGGACGACGTCCAAGTCAAGCGACGCCCTGACGCCCTCACTGGTGAACGAGCCCAGCATGTCATTGACAACCTGCAACGCTGTCTCGCGACTGGTGCTAATGGCCGCAAAATTGTCTATGTACAAGACCTTGGCTGCAGCAGAGCTGTCCGAGAGGCACGTCCCAGGCTGCTTGTCCACCAGCCACTGGTTGTTCGGAGAGATCGAAGCCAACACGTTCAGGTGGGCAGACTGCACAAAGTGGACGGCCCAGTTCCATCCCATGGGAACAACTCGCACACGGAAGGCTATCTTGGGTCGCGCCGCAAGCTCAGGCCCCAGAGCCTCGCGCAGGCGGGCAGGCAGCATGCGAGTCGCCAAGCTCGGCAGGCAGAAGTAGTTCCTGGCCCATGTGGGCAGCACGTACTGGTAGAAGCACACCTCCACATCCCCAGCCGCCAAGTGCACCTCCTCGCCGGGCGTGCACTCCAAGCTGCTGAGGGCGTCGCCGGAGGCCAAGTGCGTGTAATCGGGCGTCCTGAAGTGACAGTTCGCCCTCCTGGTGTCAAAGATAAGCCTCAGCTTGTCATCTTTGCGAGGCACAAAAAAGACGCCAGTCTCCTCCTTCCGATCTAACTCATAGTCCAAAACTTCAACGATCCCTGCGTCGTACAGCTCGAGCAGAAACCGTCCGTAGTCAAAGCCCCGTTGGGCCAGCTTGCCGTCGACGTAACACGTGACGTCAGCCTCCTCCAGAGCAGCAGAAGCCTCCTGCTCCGAGCGCAATAACCCGTGCCCGGACTCCAGCGCTGACTGCAGGGGCGGCGGAAGTAGTCGAACAAGATCGACACGCCCAGCACCGCCAGAAGGAAGGGAGACCCTCCCGCGCTGGTAGCCGGCTCTCGCCCCGATGGCTGGCTCATCAGCATAGCCAGGTCGAAGCCCCAGAAGCGCCTGAAACGCCTCCTGGTTGGTGCAATCCTCAGTCTTCGGCGGGACCGCGGCGTAGACCTCACCCAGATGCTGCAACGCGGAGCGCTGCGCCAAGCTAAGCCGCCCGCCGCTGTCAGCCAACCGACCACCCCCGCCCAGCTCGTTGAGCGCCGAGACGCCTTCCAGCATCCAGCGCTCCTGGCGCCTGCAGCGCGCGGCCTTGCGCCGCTGCCCCAGCGAAAGCTCGCCGTCGAGGGCCGAGAACCCCTTCAAGCACTGGAGCGCCTCGAAGCTGAGCGGGATGGGCAGCGCGTCCCTTTGCGTGAGACTGTCATCGCCAAAACCCAGCGAGGTGGCATCGTTCAGCACGCCTCGCCTCCCCTGCAAACTCGCGCCGAGGCCGGGGGCATCCCCGGCGCGAGGGGGCGCCTCAGGCGCCACGGCCGCGCCCGCGGCCGCGTGCCTTAGCCTTGGCACCCGCCGATGGTTCGCCAGAGGCCGCGCCGCCGTCGACGCCGCGCTCCAGCAGCCTTTCCTCTCGCCCCTTCCTGCGCTCCTTGAGGATGGCACTTTCCTCTCGGAGCTTCTCCGCCACCCAGCTCTCCAAGGCGGGGCAGACAAGCGCTGAGCCGCGGCTCCTGTCCTGCCCGAGGAAGATGGATCGCTCATCGAGCCAGGGTGCAGCGTCCTGGCCAGCCTCGGCTTCGCGCAGACTCGAGGCGTAAAGCTCCTCCCAGAGCTGGTAGCGGCGGCAGAGGATCTCCACCACCACCAGCTCGCCAGCGTTGAGCTGGTCGTAGGTGGTGAGCTCCTGCAGCACCTCGGAGATGAAGTGGTGGTCGTCCACGCCCGAGTCGGAAGCTGTGAGCCCCTGGATCGACCGCCACCAGAAATGCCTCTGCAGCGGCGTGTAGCCCGCCTCCGAGATCTTCTCAAGCAGCCAGGCAGCGGTCCTCGGCCCCTTGATGCGCCAGTCTGGGAAGGGCGTGGTGGACATCTTGGCCACGGCGTCGTGGAAGGACCTGGAGCGGCCACCAGCTGGTGAGTAGAGCACCGGCAGCGTGCGAAGGTCTCCCCCACTGCTGGAGAGCGCTGCCGTCCCTGCCTCCAGGGTGTCCGCCACTGCGACCGCCAGTGAGACGCCTGACGCCAGCACCACGACCCCGCGGTCGCCCAGAACGACCTGCGGCTGGCCATCCGCGCCGAGGAGCCCCGGCGGGATAGGGGCCCCGGCCGTGAAGCCCCCACGCGTCTCCGCCGCGAGCCAGACCGCGTCTGCTGGCGGCGCTGCGGGCCGCGGCGGGGCTGGGGCGAGGAGAGCCCCGGCCGCGGGTGCCCTGTGCGGCGCGACCGGCGCCGCCGCCAGGGCGCCGGCAGCGGCCGCGCCACCCACCGCTGGCCCAGCGGGCCTCGCGGCAGCCGCCAGCGCCGCAGGAGCCGGCGCCTCGGCAAGCGCCCCCGCCTCGCCGTCGGCAAGCACCCCATGGGGCGCCGCTGGGGCCGGCAAGCCCTCCTCCTCGCGGATGTCCAAGGCCAGCTGCGCCGCCTCGTCGCACAGCTGCTGCAGCTCAATGCTGAGGCGGGCGTTGTCCACCCGCAGGATGTGCCCCTGTGGCCTCGGCACGGGAAGGCCGCCCCGTGGACCCAGAGGCAGCAGGCGAAGCGCCTGGGACATGCCTTCATCATAGATGTCCCAGTCCGCGGTGAGCACCACGAAGCGGAAGTCCTGAATGTGCGCCAGCATGATCCTCTCGTGCCAGTAGTCATCGCGCGGGTCGTAGTAGGCGAGGGCCCTCGACCCCACCTGCAGACTCTGCAGGCAGCGCAGCGTGCGTTCTGCTGGGGTGCGGGCCGCCATCCAATCCTAGCCTCGGCGCGCGCGCGGCCCTCTTCCACAAGAATCCAGCGGTCGCTGCCGACAGCACACCAACGAGCAGCCCCACAATGAAGGCGCCCAGCGAGAGCGACGGCTCGGGGCACTGCAGCAGCGGACAGCTCGGGCACGCAGGGCAATTGAGCTGCTCTGGCCCGCAGCGCTCCAGCTGGCGTCCCAGCAAGTGCACGATATCGCTGCTGACCTGGCAATCCGCGACGCAATGGCAGTCGGGACAGCGCGCAACTGAAAGGAGGGGGGCCCGCGGAGCAACGGCCTGCAAGCTGCGCAGGGCCAAGTCCATGAGCCAGAAAGACTATGGAGCAGGGATGAAACGGAACTGTGCGATGCAAACTCGTTAAACAACGTACATGCTTGCATTTGCTCCTGAACGCTGCCGCGCAGAAGTAGTCCGCCTGGCCTGATCCGTCGGGATACTCCCACTCGATGATATACTGATCTGGGTCGAGAGGTGACCGCGTCACGCCCAGCTCGGCACCGCATAAGAAGATGCAGAACTTCCCGCCGCTGCCGCTGCCCGACTGGGGGGGCGCGGGCGCGGCCGCGGCCGCGGGTCGGCTGCTGGCGAGCCTCTGCGCGGGAAGGGGCAAATTTGGGTTCCTGAGCTTGACTGGGGGCCTGCCTGCGTTCGCCTGGCCGGGTGCTTCAGCTGGACCGCCGTGTTCGTCCTGCCGGCGCTTCCTCCTGCCACCATGAGTTTGGCGTGGCTGCGTGAATCCGCCGACATCACTTGCGCGTCCAGTATGCAAAATGCTGAGAACGCCTCAGGATGGGCCTAGATCCTAGATGGCTTCGAATCGACCCAGGACCGCCCAAGAGCCCAAGAGCCAAGAGGGCTCCAAGAGAGCCTCCAGCAAGGACCAAGAGACTTCCAAGAAGGTGGCCCCGCGACGGCCCACGAGCCCGAGAGCCTAAGAGCCAAGAGGGCCTCAAGATCTCAAGGCAGCCGAATGGTCAAGTACCCAATACCCACCATTCCAAGACTCCAAGACCCAAGACGGCCTCAGGACTCAAGACTCAAGATGGCCCAAGACCCGAGACTCCAAGACCCAAGACCAAGACACCAGGAGAAACCCCAGAGAGCCCAGGACATACCCATGCGCCAGGCGGGCCTCAAGCTGCCCCCAAAGGGCCAAAGGCTTCGGGATGGACCCGACGACGGCCTTGGAAAACCTGCTGGCGGCCCGAGACGGCCCCGAGAGACCCTCCCAGCCCTGGACAGACCCAAAGCCGAAAACCCAAGACGGCCCACGCGATGTCCATGCGATGTGTCCATGTGACCATGTGGCGTCTCGGGATGAGGAAACGAAGAATGACAATATATTGTCACATATTACGGCTATCTGTTTCGTCGTCGTCGTCGTCATCGTCATCGTCATCGCAGTGATCGCCCTCGTCCTCCTCGTCATCATCGGCAGGGTCATCGCATCCTCCTCCTTATCATCATGTTGGGCATCCTCGCAGTCCTCGCCCTCGTCCTCCTCTTTATCATCGCATCGTCATCGCGTCTTCCTCCTCGTCATCATCTTGGGCATCCTCGCAGTCCGCCAATGTCCAATGTCCTCCTACTCCTCCTCTCCTCATCACCATTCACCATTCATCCCGATTACCATCCCCTCGTCGTTACCGTCTGCAGCGCCATCGTCATCATCACCACCGCCATCATCGCCATCATCGCCATCATCATCATCATCATCGATTCGAGCAACTACCACCAAGAACGCTGGGGTGGCACAGAGTCGGGGCCTGCCAAAGGCACTTGGAACTTGGAAATAGATAACGAAAAACAGACTTCGAAATGCAATGGTATCGAGGACCCCGAGAGGCGGGGTCTGAAGCTAAAAGCACTTGATTACTCTAGGCTCTGTGCCAAGATGGCTATGGGCTATGGGCTATGGGCTATGGGCTATGGGGGAGGCAGGGCGGAGCAACGACGAGAGGGGCGGACAGGGGGAGCGCGGGGGCCCAGGAGGAGCGGGGGCGCCCCGCTGTCGGAGGCCTCCGAGGTTTGAGGCTTTTAGCTTTAGGTGTTAAAGTGATAAGGCTTGCTGCTTGCTGATGTCCAACCACATGCCGGATCCACGGCGCTGCGCCCGAGCCGCCGGCCTTGATCCATGGGCCTCGGCTCTGGGGCTCTCCGGGCCAAGGGCCAAGGGCCCTGCGCATTCAACATCAAACGTTCAAACGTTGTGTGGACCTGGGCGGGACATGGCGCGTGGACAGCGCATTCGAGAGGGCGCTGCGGGACATGGTGCGTGGACATGGGCCATGGCCTGGCATGGCGCACAAGGGGCGACGAATGACATCGACGATCAACGACCGCTCTGCGCCGAGGAGAGCCCAAGCGCCTCAGACGAGACTCGCGTGGGAAGACTGCGGCCGTGACAGGGGCGGGCCGAACGGCAGGTGGGGCCCCGGGGCTCAGGGCAAAAGGCATCAGGTATAAGGTATAAGGCATAAGGGCATAAGGCACAAGGGATAAGGGGGTAAGCGATATGAGTAAAGGGTAAAGGGTAAGGAGTAAGGGATTCGGATTACGGATCAGGGATCAGGGAGCAGGGATAAGGGATAAGGGATAAGGGATAAGGGGATAAGGGGATAAGGGATAAGGGATAAGGGGTTAAGGGATAAGGGATAAGGGATAAGGGCACTTTGTGGGTGTGTGTTTGGGGTTTGGGGGGCCACGCCATGCTATGCCGCCAGCGGCCCGGCTCCGACGGCCTGGCTCAGCGCAAAGCTCGATTGCGGACGGCGAACCCGCCGCCCCCCAGCCGAGGGGCATCGCCTACGGGCGGCCGTAGAGGAGGAGCGTCGCGCAGGCATTCTTGACACACGAGAGAACAAGCAAACAGGCCTGGTCGTGAGAGCTCGACAGAACCAGGGCCCCGGGACGGCCTCAAAAACCAAAGGCCCCCGAAGTCCGAAGTCCGAAGTCCCTCCTCCCTCCCCCCATCCCCCCCTCCACCCTCCACCCTCCTCCCCCCATCCTTCCTCCCATCCTTCCCCCATCAACTTTTTGCCTCGGACCTGATCTGCCTATGCAGCAGTATACAAATGAATACCCGTGCGACCTGATCTGAAGCCCCCGGGCGTCTGTGCATTTATTGCGCAGAAGCCACTTGTTGGGCGCGTTAAGTCGACCAGTTGTGATGGCAAGTGTTTCCATCTCTGCTGTCTCGGCATCTGGCCAGGACCCCAGGACAATGAGCTCATCATATTTGAGTTTGTGACCTGGCATATACTCCCGATGAGCGGGAGGCTGTCCGTTGTGGTCGTCGCCTGATGGCCAATACCACCCGCCATGCCAACGCCAGGCGGGATCTGAGGTCGAGCCGATGTAGGCTCGACCTCCGTCCCGCCAAACTTGCATAACAAGTTGAACTACGTGGCGGCGCAACTCTTCAGCCGAGACGTGCAAGACACGGCGCGATGCCACCTGGATCTCCGGCACCTCCAGTGAGCTTGCCAAGGTCATGTGCGCCTCGCGCTCGGCCTTATCCCACCGCGACTCTGGCCGATCCAAGGCCCGACATGGGCTCCTCGACGACCGCCGAGGGGAGGTGGCTGCATGCCATGGCCGCGCCGATGCCCCTCCTGCTCCCGCCGTTGGCGCCGCCAGCCTGACTCCTGCCGATCGCCCCACTGCCCGAGATGGACTCCTCGACGACCGCCGAGGGGAGGGGGCTGCATGCAACGGCCGCGCCGATGCTCCCGCTGCCGATGGCGCCGCTAGCTGGGGTTCTGCCGATCGCTCCAGGGCCCGAGGACGGCTCCTCGACGGGCGCCGAGGGGAGGGAGCTGCATGCAACGGCCGCGCAGATGCTCGTGCCGCCGATGGCGCCGCCAGCCTGCCTCCTGACGATCGCTCTGGGGCCCATGGACGGGGGCTCGACGACCGCCGAGGGGAGGGGGCTGCATGCCACGGCCGCGACGTCGCCCCGGCCGCCGATGGCGCTGCCAGCCTGATTCCCGCCGATGCCTCCAAAGGCACTGACCGCGCCGCCTCCATGGCGGCGGCAACAGCTCTGGCCCCATCGTCCCACAATTTCAACTCCCGTGGCGTGCCGTAGCCGCTGCCTGCAGCGCGCTGCTCGCCCTCGCAGTGAGGGCGGCGCCGCCGCCGCCAGCATGCTTTGAAGCCCCCGCGGCGGCGGCGGCAGCGCCAACTCTGGCCGCCTCGTCCCGCCGCTTCAGCTCCATCGCCGTCGCCTGAGGAGGATGCCTCCCCGATGGCGCCGCTGGGCTAGCTTCTGCTGCTGCCGCTCGCTCCAGGGCCCGAGGACGAGGGCGGCTCCTCGACGACCGCCGAGGGGGGGTGGCTGCATGCAACGGCCGCGCCGATGCTCGCGCCGCCGATGGCGCCGCCAGCCTGCCCCCTGCCGATCGCGCCGGGGCCCATTGACCGGGGCTCGAAGACCGCCGAGCGGAGGGGGCTGCATGCAACGGCCGCGCCGTCGCTCCTGCCGCCGATGGCGCCGCCAGCCTGCCTCCCGCAGACGCCGCTGAGGCCGCTGGCCGCGACGCTTCCGAATCGCCGAGGATCTCTACGAGCGACCTGGCCCCGCAGTCGGGCGTGGCGGCGGCGCCATGCAGCCAGCGCCAGGACCCCCGCTCCCGGGCTTGCACAGCAAGCCTCGCGCGCGAGCGGCTCGCGGCCGCCGCCGCCTCCGCTCGCCACCGCTCGTGCTCCGAGGGCGAGGGCCCCCGCCCCGCCAGCGGCGAGCCCGTCAGGCTATCCGCAAGATCGCGCAGCCGCGCCCGCGCGGAGGCTCCCCCCTCTGGCAGCGGCGACCCCGTCAGAAGGTCCGACAAGTCCCGCATGCGCCCGCCCTCTGGAGCACTCGCCGCTATGCTGCTGCGGCAACGCAAAGAAGAGAACGGGGAGACGAGGGTAAGGTGTAAACATGGATGGGGGGAGGGGGGGATGAGGAGGCAAAGGGGGAGGGAGGGGGCTGGCTCAGCCGCCCCCTACGTTGGATTTAGCTGGACTGCGTCGCCCCCTACCTTACTGAGCTCAGCAGCTAAGCTGGATTAGGGGATAGGGGATTAGGGGATTAGGGATTGGGGATTAGGCCGTCCCGTACCTTCGATTGAGGTGGATTGCGCCGAGGGCGCACGCGGCCCCACGCGCCGAACAGCGGGGCGAACACGCTTTCTCCCGCCACAGTCCCTTGTGCCTTGTGCCTTGTGTCATCACAGGGCACTCCCCGCCTGGAGCTGCCCGAGAGCCAGTGTCGCCGCAACCATCCCCCACCTCTCGGCCCCCCGAAGAATCTCGCCCAGCATCAACCCATCGTGACGACACAGAGCCAGGGCGGTCAGCTTCTGGACTTGGCGTTCTGAGTCAGAAAGCCAAGTTCAGAATTGTCGGAACTTCTAACAGTCGCTCTAACGCCGCGCCCTGTCGAGGAGGGAGGAGGAGGTAGACCAGGAGGGAAGAGGGGGAGGAGGAAGAGGAGGAGGAGGAAGAAGAAGACCAGGAGGGAAGGGAAGGGGGAAGGGGGGATAGAAGGATAGAAAGGCGCAGCAAGGCCCCAGGTCCCAAGGCCCCAAGGTCCAGGGGAGTGCCGCAACGATCGGCGGCGGCGCGCCTTTCTCTGCCCTGCCGAGCGACACTGTGGAGCTAGCCTCTGAAAGCACAATGCGCAATGCGAGAGTCCATAAATGCGCTAAGTATCTAATTCTGAATTATGAATTATGAAGTATGGTGATGAAGGGGTCTCTTGGGTCTCGGCTCATGGGCTTATGGGCTCATGTCTCTTTCTTGGGGTCTTGGAGCGCCAGAGGCCCGAAAGCAACTGGACTGCGACGGCTTCCATGCGTGATGCGTGCTGCGTGCTAGGTTGCACGGGAATCGGAATGCATCCCAGCCCCCCCCCCCCTTCCCTTTCACAGTAGAGAATGCCCCGCCCCAGCGCCCAGCAATTCAGGCCTGTGAGCCCCTACTGAGGCGCGAATACATCACCCCATGAGGGCCATGGCCCCACGACCCAAGACCCAAGACCCATAGGCCATAAGCCCATGAGGGCCACGGAGAGGGCGCGGGGTGCAGGAGGAGGAGGAGGAGGAGCATGAGGAGTGATATGGTAACATGATATGGGATATGGACTATGGGACATGAGATATGAGATATGGGATATGGGATATGGGCCATGGGCCATGGGGCGCAAGCGAGAAGGTAGAAGGAAGGAAAGCAGGGATAAGTGCGCGCGACATGGGGACGAGGACCTACTCACTCCTTCGGGAGGGTAAGCTTCGCTGAGTCATTGAACTCCCTGCTAAAGTGCTTCATGCACCTAGTGATGCATTCTGCATTCTGGCAAGGATGCGGAGGGGGGAGGTGGAATGAGGATGCGAGAAGGGGAAAGGAGGAGGCGGAGGAAGGATCGGCAGGGGGGAACAGACAACAGAGGTGGATGCCCACAGCAAATGGGGTCAGGGCCTCGCGCATCTCGGTCACCCAGCTTCGCACTTCGCGCACGCTACGCAAGGGGCAAAGGTATCTTCGGACCCCTGGGGGTGACCTGGGCCCTAGGTCCTGGGTGCATGGTGCACGAGTGCATGGGCCGTCAGCCTTCAGGCTTTAGCCTCGAGGCTCAAGGCCGCAAGGCTTCTTGGGTCTTGGGCGCAAGAAAAAAAAAGGGAAAAGATATGGGTACGCCAACAAGTTGCCGCTCAATTGCATGTGGGACCGGAGGCGCCGGATCCGCATGATGATCCTGCGCCACCTTTTCACGCCGGGCTTCATCTCGCCATCCCCCGACTCATCAACCTCTGCTACGAGTTCCAACTGCGTTTCGGACGACGCGGCCATGGCACTGGGCGCGAGCGCACGATGCGACGACGCGGGCTTCTGTACTTATGTAGCGGGAGGCGCTGGCCTGCAAAGGGGCTTGAGCGACGACAGCGGCACAATCGGGGAGGCCGCCCTGAGCAGGGGCAGGAGGGGAAGAAAGGGGGGGGAACAATAAGGAAGAAGGGGAAGGGTAGCGAAACGCGAGGCCCTCGATCGGCCTCAGCCGTCCAAGCGAATCCGCGGGGGCCTGCTCTCTGAGTTCTCAGTCGTTGACCTCCATCAGGGTGCTCGAATCGGAGATGATGTCCTCGGGCGCGCATGGCGGAAGGAGCGGAGGGCAGAAAGTAAAGCGTGGATAAGGGGGATGGGGGAAGGGGGAAGGGGAGGGAAGGAAATGGGAAGGGGGACAGAGGGGGGAGGGAAGGCGAGGGAATGGGGGAGGAAACAAGCGCGAGGAAGGGGATGGGGGGGGTGGAGAGGCGAGAAGATGGAAGGAGTGACGAGCTCCCCCCTCCCCCTCCCCGTCCTCGCTCTTCCTGCCCCCCTTACCCCTTGCCCCTAACCACTCCTTCTCCCCTCCCCCGACGCCATCCTCACTCCGCCCCTGCACCCGGAGCCCTCCACACTCTACCTCAGGACTCGGCGCGCATCGGAGTCCTGGAGGTCCGCGCCTTCAGCGACGCTGTCCTCGTCGGCGTCGCCCTCGCCAACGTCGCCCTCGTCGTCGATGCTGTTCGCGATTAAATTCAGCGTCTCGGGCATGTCCAAGAACTGCTGGATAAGGACGTCGAACTGGTCGCGGGAGGTGATCGGATCCAAGCCCTTGGCCCTGAGCTCCCTCGTGGATAACAGGCGGCCGGCGTCGAAGGGGGCATGAGCGAAGACGCCCATCCAGGTAGGAATCAGCACGTAACAGCTCATGGCATTGCCAGCCATACTCAGCAAATCCGGGTTCTTGAACCTCCTATCCAGGTGCTGGATGAGACGAGCGGGATATCCTTGAATTTCGAGCGCCTCGGCCCCAGTGAGGTCTCTTTTGCGCTGGTACAACCAAGGGCGAGCTGAGGATACCAAGCACGGGCAGTCGCATGTCTGCGATACTTGCCAGTCCAACTTCATGTTCAAATCGAAGACCCTCTCCGAGGTCACCGCAGCAGCCTCGGGCCCCTTGTAGTGGTAGTACACGCATTCCCTGAACCTGCGGGGCAAATGCTCCGAGCACTCGCCCAAGCCGGCGGCCTCGCAAGCTGCCGGGGACACGGGCCAGTCCAATTTCGCCCAGCTGAACCTGTCCAAGTGCTCGCTCTCGAATTTCATGTCAAGGGAGGACTTGCTCCGCGCATCCTTCTCGGACTTCGTGCTCATCCTGTGGGCCTTCCACTCCCTCACTTCCTCGTGGTCATCTGGGAGGAGAAAGTCATCCAACTTCATGCTGTGCCCGGCCAGCTGGCGCACCATCGCGAAGACGCGCGGAAGGAACGTCTGCTCGAGCATCTTCTCGTACATCGCCTCCTTGATCTTCTTCTTCTCGTCGAAGAATGCATCGTGGTTGGCCGCCACGAACGTGGCCAAGGAGCGACTGTAAGCAGCGATCAGGTACAGCCGCGGCCTGCTCTGCGGACTGTAGTCCGCGGCATCGAGCTTCTCCGACTGTGCCACGTACCCGTGAAGCAGAAGGAAGCGTCGCAGATTATCCAAATCAATTTGTTTTATCTTGTCACTCTGCTCCCAAATGAGCAGCCGTGGCAAGTGCTTCTTGATCCACCTCAAGAGTGCGTCGAGCGTGCTCCCGCTCTTGCCACTGGCACTGGCAACGACGCCAGCATCTCCCGCCTTCGTATATTGATTGAGAGGGCTCCAGTTGTCGCACTCCGTGCCAGCGACCAGGATATCGCAATCTGGCACTTCTTGGTGCGTCTGCGACCTGACATCAAATGCCCTATCGCAGGGTAACTCCAAGAGATCTTGAAAGAGGAACTGCGGGCGATGGTGACGCAAGATGAAGTCTTGCGCGATGGCGTTGGACTCGCACGCGAAAACGTGCTGGTACGGCACGCGCGAGCCATGATGCAAAGACCAATAATTTCCCAGTACGTCCAGCGCGTAGAGGGGCATGTCAGTGCCAGAGCACGCGGTGCCAATCCTAAGGCACCTGGAGGTCCCGCGCATGGTAGTGTCCAAGAGGCTCAGGTTCGCAATGAGCTTGTTGAGCTGGCGGCTCTGCAACTTCAAATGCATATCCCTGGCCTTCTGCTCGGGGAGGCGGGGCTCCTCGGGAAGCGGGGCGGGCGGGCATCCTCGCTCTTCCCCGCTCCATCCAACGCTTCCCTCCTCAAGAGCATCTCCTCGACCTCACCCCCGCCCCCCCCCTGACCCAGCCCCCCGTCTCTTTCCCCCTCAACGCGTTCCCCTCATCTCTGTCATATCCAGTAGTCCACTCCTCCCGCCATGCTCGATCGCCCTGTCCGCACTCCATCCCACCTCGCTAGCCCCTCTAGGCTCCAGCCCCTCCCCCTCTTCGGCCCCGCATCCCCCATCCCCCATCCCGCTTCCCTGGCCTGCCACGCTTGCCATTCCTCGACCCACTCCGTCCGCCGCGAGCCCGCCGCCCTCCACCCTCCCACCACCGTGCGGCCCATAGCCCATAGCGGCCCCAGGCAACTGGAGCCCCGAACCTAAACATCCTGGATCCTCGTTGCCATCGGATTTCTTGGACTTCCAGGTGTGCATTCTTGGACTTCCTGGACTTCTTGGTTGGCATTCTTGGACTTCCTGTCCCGCATTCCTGTCCAGCTTGGTATTTTTTTACCGGGGCTGCCTCTCAACTAAAATCAAGTTGGTGAATTTTTTACCGGAGAATTACCGGGCTGGACAGGAATGCGGGACAGGAAGTCCAGGAATGCCAACCAAGAAGTCCAGGAAGTCCAAGAATCCAAACCAAGAAATCCAAGAAGTCTGATACGCGAAATGCGATATGCCCCCAATCCTGCTGGTCGGTTGCCTGCGCCACAACAGGCGGTGTCGA